TCTAGTTCTGTGAAATACATCATTGGGATCTTGATAGGAAGTGCATTGAATCTATAGATTGCTTTGGGTAGTGTGGGCATTCTCATGATGTTAATTCTTCCTATCCATGACCACAGTATGTGCTTCCACTTGTATCTTCTTCAGTTTATTTCTTCAGTGTCATAACTTGCTGAGTAGAGGTCTTCTACATCCTTGGTTAGATTTACTCCTAGGTATTTTATTCTTTTTGAAACAATTACGAATGGGGCTGTTTTCTTAATTTCCTTTTCTGTTAGTTCAATATTGGCATATAAAAATGCAACTGATTTCTGAATATTAATTTTGTATCCTCTACTTTACTGAATTAATTTATCAGACCTAGTAGTTTCTTGGTGGAATCTTTAGGGTTTTAAACTTATACACAGTGTCATGTCATCTGCCAAAATGACAGTTTTACTTTTTCCTTTTCAATTTGGGTGCCTTTTATTTCTTCTTCTTGTCTGGTTGCTGTGGCTGGGTTTTCTAGTACTATGATGAATAGGAAAGGTGAAAGCAGATGTCCCTGTCTTATTCCTGATCTTAAAAGGAACACTTATAGTTTTTGCCCATTGAATATGCTGCTGGCAGTGGGTTTATCATATATGGCCTTTATTATGTTTAGATATGTTCCCTTTATTACCACTTTGCTTAGAGTTTTTATCATAAATGGGTGCTGGATTTTATCAAATGCTTTTACTGCATTTGTTAATATGATCATGTGGTTTTTATCCTCTATGTTGTTTATGTGGTAAATCACATTTATTGAGTTGTGAATGCTGTACCAACCTTGCATCCCTGGAATAAATCCCACTTGATCAGGGTATATGATCTTTTTGATGTATTGCTGTATTCAGTTTGCTAATAATTTGTTGAGGATTTTAGTATCTATGTTCATCAGTGATATTGGCATATACTTTTCTTTTTCTTCTTGTACTGTCTTATCTAGTTTTAGAATTAGGATAATTCTGGCCTCGTAAAAATAACAAACAGGACTTCCAGCCAAGATGGAGGTGTAGGTAGACACACTGTGCCTCCTCACACAACCAAAATAAGGACAACAACAATTTAGAAATAAAATAACAACCAGAACTGACAGAAAATTAAACTGTATGAAAGTCCAACAACCAAGGAGTTAAATAGACATATTCATCCAGACTGGTAGGTGGAATGGAGTTGGACAGCTGGGCGGAAGGGGTCAAGGCACAAAAAGCGGTGGCACCAGCGCAAGGCACCCAGGGCACGCAAGACGGCAGCTGGCAGACCCCGGGTGCAGGGTGGCAATGGGCAGACCCAGCAAGGCGGCAATTGTGAAGCAAGACACTGTGCACCAGGCGGCTGGCTGACCAGGCAGTTCTATATTGGCGTGCAGATAAACCAGGTGAAACTGGGGAGCAAGACAGATGGTGCAGCCCAGGATCCCAGCGCTGGGAAATAGAGCCTGAAAACACTGATTTAAAACACCTGTAGGGGTTAAAGCACAGGGAGAGACTCCCAGCCTCATGGGAGAGTTCGTTGGAGAGACCCAGAGGGTTCTGGAATGTACATAGGCCTACCCGTATGGGAACCAGCATCAGAAAGGCCCAGTTTGCTTGCAGGAAGTGGTGGAAGTGACTGAAAACCGGCAGAGAGAGGAGCAAGCACCATTGTTCCTTCTCAGACCCTGCCCCCACATACAGCATCACAACCCAGTGACTGGGTTGCCCCGCCCTGGTGAACACCTAAGGCTCCACCCCTCATATGTAACAGGTACGACAAGACAAAAAAAACCAAATGGCCTAAATGGGAGAACAGATCAAAGTTCTGCAGCAAATACAACTAAGCAACCAAGAGATAGCCAACCTATCAGATGCACAGTTCAAAGCACTGGTGATCAGGATGTTCACAGAATTGGTTGAATTTGGTCACAAATTAGATGAAAAAATGAAGGCTAAGTGAAAGGAAAATGCAGAGGAAACCAATAGTGATGGAAAGAAAACTGGGACTCAAACGAATGGAGTGGACCAGAAGGAAGAAATAACCAAACAGAAAAGAAGGAAGAAATGAGAATTCAAAACAATGAGGAGAGACTTAGGAACCTCCAGGACATCTTTAAATGATCCAACATCTGAATTTTAGGGGTACCAGAAGGGGAAGAGGATGAGCAACAAGTGGAGAAGTTATTTGAACAAATAATAAAGAACTTCCCCAATCTGGCAAAGGAAATAGACTCCCAGGAAGTCCAGGAAGCTGAGAGTCCCAAAGAAGTTAGACCCCATGAGGAACACACCAAGCACATCATAATTACATTACCCACAGTAAAAATGAAGGAGAGAATCCTAGAAGCAGCAAGAGATAAGGAGATGGTAACCTACAAAGGAGTTCCCATCAGACTGTCAGCTGATTTCTCAAAAGAGACCTCACAGGCAAGAAGGGGCTGGAAAGAAGTATTCCAAGTCATAAAAGGCAAGGACCTACATCCAACATTGCTCTATCCAGCAAAGCTTTCATTTAAATGGAAGGGCAGATCAAGTGCTTTTCAGATAAGGTCAAGTTAGAGAAGTTCATCATCACCAAGCCCTTATTTTATGAGATGTTAAAGGGACTTTTCTAAGAAAAAGAAGATAAAAAACATGTACACTAAAATGACAGCAAACTCACAATTATTAACAACCACATCTAAAACAAAAACTAAGCAAACAACTAGAACAGGAACAGAACCACCGGAATGGAGATCACATGGAGGGTTAGCAACAGGAGAGTGGGAGGAGGAGAGAGGGGGCAAAGTTACAGAGAATAAGTAGCATAGATACTCAGTAGAAAATAGACAGGGGGCGGGCAAGAATAGTATGGGAAATGTAGAAGCTAAAGAATTTATGACACATGGACATGAACTAAAGGTGGGGAATGTGGGTGGGAGAGGGTGTGCAGAGTAGAAGGAAATGAAGTGGGGGTAATGGGACAACTGTAATAGCATAATCAATAAAATGTATTTTAAAAAAAACAAAGCCCAAAGTGAAGAGTATACTACGATTTTAACTACTTAAAAATATACGGGAAGTGTACTAAAAAATGGTGAAGGTTATGTTAGGGTAATAATTTTTCCTTCTATTTTAAAAAATTTCTTTAATTATAAGTAGATGTTTCTATTATTTAAAATTAGTTTAAATATTAGTTACATTTGCTTAAAATTTCTAAACTCTTAAAAATCACATATTGTTGGCAATCCATGCTTAAATGGTACATAATTTCTCTTTGCTAATGTAGTGGTGTTGACAGACATAGTAAAGTTTTTAGCTAAGGAAATGTCAGTTGTTGCAATAGCACCTCTAAAATTACAATAAAGCTATATAACAATTGACAGGGGTACCCTTGGTCAATGTGGAGAAAAGTCAGATTGATTAAGAAAAGGAAAACGTCAACCTTTCCAGTCAGTGACAGGATTAGTAATAGTGACAGGACCTCAATCCAATCTGAGATATTACTTCTTGGAAGGCATAGTACTAGTGAGAAAGACATTAATAGGATGAAATCCAATACTTGCACAGGCCAATGAACTGGACAGAGGAAGATTTGGGAGTAGGAGGAGGTATTTAGATAAAGTAGATCCATGAACAGATATTTTTTAAAAATGTCAGGGTGTGTTCAAAGAGCAGAATAATTCAAAGTGTCTTGACTATAGGGTACCTATAACCAATAGGCTGGGGATAAGCAGATAATCAGAGGTTAACGGAGGCTGAAGACCTTTGGTTTTATTTGGAATGCAGTGTAGAGACTTTGAAGATATTCTATTGAAAAGAATGACATAAGATCTGTGTTGATTCTCGAGTCCCCATGGAATGAACTGAAAGGGAGATGAGAGGAAGACATAAATTGTGAAGTCTCTGTAATAGACCAGGAAACTCATTACATGAAAATTATCTAAATTGGCACTTCCAGAATATATTTTACTTTAAAATGATTTAACCGCATTCTAACAGTTTTAGATGATTTTTGGTGTTCTCTAATGTAATTGGCACATAATATCAAATCAGATTGCAGAGGATTATTTTAACTCTATGGCCAGATGCAGAGACATATGTAAAGGTATTGAAGCCAACAAATACGTTGAGAAGTGCAAATTCTCATGAGTAAAAGGATTTGGAATTCTAGAAGGCAGCAGATTATCAATAGCTGTATCCAGATTCTTTGGAGTGGTGAGTTGCTTTAAATTAAAACTTCATATTAGCTCACCAGAAAGTAAAATTTTCTAAGCATAAATTGTTTTAACCTTCTAGGCAATTGCGGTGTTGCTGAGTAGTAATCAAAACTGTAACAATGTTATACTAGTGAACAGATATTTTTTTTGTTTCCACTAGCATAAAGGGGTTTAGGTTTTATTTCATTTTATTTTTTAAAGATTTTATTTATTTTCAGACAGAGGGGAAGGGAGGGAGAAAGAGGGAGAGAAACTTGGATGTGTGGGAGATAAATCAATCAGTTGCCTCTCACACGCCCCCTACTGGGGGCCTGGCCCGACCCCAGGCCTGAGCCCGGACTGGGAATTAATCTTGTGATCTTTAAATTCGCAGGCAGGCACTCAATCCACTGAGCCACACCAGCCAGTTAAGGGTTTAGATTTTAAACCAGAATATACCAGAATCCAGGTAGAAGATGGATTCAAGCCCAGTGACTTTGTGAATCGTTGGAGATGGACACGAGCAGACATCACCTTGAGAATTGGATCAAAATCCCGGTTGACCAGCCAAGACATACGCCTGGGTTGCGGGCCAGGTCCCCGGTAGAGGGTGCATGAGAAGCAACCACACATCGGTGTTTCTCTTCATCTCTTCCTCCCTCCCTTCCCCTCTCTAAAAATAAATAAAATATTTTTAAAAATCCCGATAGATTTGGCAGTCACTAACCAAACACTCTCCACCACCAGGCTAGCAGATCTTTCATTTCCAAAGCTCTAAGTTTTCGGTGCAGAACTATTGACACGTGAGCACAGCATCCGGCTTTTATTTACAAACACTGAGAAAAGAGCGCCACGGTGACAGCGCGTCCTCCTCGGGAAGCCAGCCGGGTCCCACCAGAAGGCGGGGCAGGGACCGAGGCCTGGGGCACCCGGCCCGAGGCCTCTTTCCTCCAGACGTCCCCGGCGGCTCTCGCTCCCAGGCCCCGCAGTCTCATTTGTCGCTTTCCAACGCGTGACCCCGGCGCGCGCGTCCCGGGCCGGTGACAGGCGCGGGGTGCGCCGAGCGGCCCCATGTGCCCCCTCCTCCTCACGGCCACCGCAGTTGCCGTGCCTCGAACCTCGCTCCAGCTCCTCGGCAGAGGGCTCGCCGCCATGTCTACCGCAGGGCCCCTCAAATCCGTGGACTACGAGGTGTTCGGAAGAGTGCAGGGTAGGGGACCCCCACCCCCCACTGTGGGAGACCAAAGCGGTGTTAGGGAGAAAGGAGACAAGACTGGGAGAGGACCTTCCCATCTTAAAGATCCCCTTCCCCGGAGTGGCTGGGACTTCCGCTGGGCCATGACACAGCAGCCGCGAGTGGGAAGAAGGCGAAAAGCGCATGCGCTGCAGAGCTGGGCGGGGCGGGGGCGGGGAAAGAGCGGAGACGGGAGAGGGAAAAGGGAGGGGGCGAAGAGACCCCTGGGCTGCCGGCAGGCCTTACTAATGGGGGCAGGCGGCCTGAGAGGGCAAAAATGAATTTGGGTAGGAAAAGGAGAGTCCTTATACTAGTTATCCTGTTACTTGCCTTAGAAAATACTAGGCTTGACCTGAGCTTTAGGAAAGACACCCATATGATGTTTCAGGGTTCATGCTGTTGGAGAGTATGTATATATATGTTTTTTTTAACTGTAACTTTTAAAAGAATTCTTAAAATGTTATCTAATTTTTGTTTCATCGTTAATTTAAATAGTTGCAAAGGATGTAATGTCTGGCTTATTTTAACTTGATATTTCCAAATTAAAATGTTAAATCACTGAAATTTATACAAGGGAATATAAATATGGTAGTGATTTTTTAAAAGATTTTATTTATTTATTTTTAGAGAGGGAAGGGAAGGAGAAAGCGAGAGAGAAACATCAATGTGCGGTTCCTGGGGGCCATGGCCTGCAACCCAGGCATGTGCCCTGACTGGGAATCGAACCTGCAATGCTTTGGTTCACAGCCTGCGCTCAATACACTGAGCTGCGCCAGCCAGGGCTGGTAGTGATTTAATACCATCATTTCGTTTAAAATAAAGCTCTTAACATTAGGAAATTTAACATTATATGTTTTCCTTTTGGAGTTTGATTTCCAGTTCATTTCCCCCAGAGAGTTTGATCCCACTGTTATGCTTGAGAGTGTCTCATTGATAACCTATCAAACTTTTCTGTAATATGTATGTACAATATATATGTGTATATGTATACACATATGTATAGGTATAATATATTTTCTTGATTTCCTTTGTCCGTAAAGCTCTATTAGTTTTTTTCTGGCTTGAGTTACTATTGCAATTATATTAGAACACAATTGATGAAAATAATGTAAATACTTTAAAAAGTATGATAAATGTTATTAAAAAGTCAATTTGTATTGAAAATTCTTTTGTAAGTGGAAATCTTGATTAAAGGAAGTGTTGAATTATCCTTTTATTTTGGTACTCTAGAGGTTTTTACAAATTGGGGCAATGTATTAGGGTAAGATTAAGAATGGATGAGATGATGTCTTTTGTAAAGAGATGGATGTTTCTTTCAGGGAGTGATTATGAGAAGGGAGGTAGAGCAGGAGGGTAGGTCTGAGAAGCAGACCACAGGTGCCTTCTCAGACAGTCGGTTTTAGAAAAGAATACATATGAAGTTGAGGATCTGGAAACCGATTCCCTTAAAATTATCCATGGTTTGCACTCTGTAGAAAGTCTTTGAGTACACCAGGAGTATGGTACTCTGGAATGAAAACCGCTACAATAAGTAACTGAAACACATTATATATAATATATGAAAATGGTGGCAAAGGTCACCTGAGAAAATATTTGGTCCACTGGACAGAGATGGCAGTAGTTAAGGTGTGTGTGTGTGTGTGTGTGTGTGTGTGTGTGTGTGTGTCTGTCACATTTACTGGGAGTGTTCCATGTGCCAAGCATCTTTTATTTACTAAATCCTTATCACAATTTTTCATCAATATATCTTACTCCTGTTTTAACAATGAGAAAACAGGTAGAGAGAAGTTCAGTAATTTGGACAAGTCCTAAACTGACAAATGGGATTTGATCCTGCACCTCTCTAACTCTGAAACGTTCACTTTTCCATTATGAGTGTTTTCTGTGAATACATAATTTATTTACATTGATTTTAATTGTGTAATTGCACTTGTGGGTCACATGGTTTATGAAAATCAATTTGGGGCATCAGTACAAATATAGGAAAGGTAAAAATAATATACGTAAACAGTGGCGTTTAAAAAAATGAGCTTTAGGGCAATAAGTCCTGTAATTTGTAGTATGTTAAGTAGAAGAGTACACGCATGCTATTGATTTATTAAGGCATAGTATTGTTGTCAGTGGAAATGAGGCTCTTCCACGGCATCATGAGGAAAGCATTCCAAGGACTCACAGAGGGGAGATTGTGGTGTGGCAAGATGGTTTATTCGTGTGGAACTAGAAGCTGCCCCTGCATTTCTAATTTCTCGTTTCTTTCTGTCCTGCCATTAAAAAAGTTCAAACGGTCTTTAGCAAGGCCAAAACAAAAGCCAGGGTCCAGAGTCTCTGCTTCATATGAAAGCTTGGTCATTTGGGAGCCCACGCCATCTGCTGCAGGCCCCAGTAGCTGTTAGACCCGTGTGGTTGCGTGCTCCTGGAGGAGAGATAATTCCAGAATGAATGGGTGAGTGTTGGTTGTGAGTGAGAGAGAGAGCAAGCACATGCTTCTTCATTCCCCTGGGATTATATTGGCTTGGGTTTGGGGTGGACCCGGTGCTTTTGCAAAAGAACCAGACAACTTCCCAAGTTTTCACAGACTTTTGATATGTTTACACCCCCTAGTTAGCCTGACAGGCCTCTATGATCTGGCACCTCCCCTTACACCCCCAACACTCTGGTACCAGAGAGGGAAAGGGTGGAGTGTTAACTCCCTTGGTGGGGCAATGCTGTGATCCCCTGGGGATGGAAGCTGTATCTTATGCTCCTAGTTTATTAAGCTCGATGTCTAATTCCCTTTTGCTTCCCTTTCTTATCAATAATTAGCTAACTACCTATGGTAACAGTTTGTGGGACAAATTCTCAATCTCATATTTGCGTGCGCACACACACACACACACACACACATACATTTGCTGAGAATTTAGGATATGCCAAGCTCTGTACTCCATATTTTACATGCATTGTCTCACATGTATTTGATCCTCAATCCTGTAACCTCAACCATTTCCTCATTTAACAGATGGAGAAATTGAACCATAGAGAGTGACTTTCCCAGGTTACACAGTGAGTTAAGTGGCAGTGCTGGGATTTGAACCTTGACACTCTGATACCAGGGCCGATGCTCTTCATCACTATATTGATTCTCCAGTCAATACCCTTTCCCCCTTTATTTTTGCCTTCCTCCTGACTTACTCACTGAATACATATATACACTGGCCCAGGACTGTTGGACCCAGCCACTTGGATTATTCCTCAGATGACCCTGAGGACAATTTTATGGTACTTTTGGTTCCAAGGAAGTTTGACCTGGTCAGTAAACAGCACACTCAAAAGCTGCAGCCTCTGACTCTGTCACTTGCTCACAATGTCTGTCACTATTTCTGTGTAACAATCTGTATCTCACAGTTTTCTTGTGGATTGCCTAAGAAATAAACCGAGTCATCGTGAGTCATAGTGATTGGGTAGAAATAATTTACACTAAATAGCCAAAAATGAAAATTTTAATTTTAACACTATAAAATGGATAATAATTAAGGAGAGCATTGTAAGATTAACTTTTAATTTAAAAGTATGGAATAATAAAATTGTGAGAACTGGCTTGTTAAAATTAATGACTAAGTAAATTTATAATGGGAGAAGTTATAACTGGAAACATTTAATATGGACAAAATATGAAGTGATAAATAAAATTACTGTAAAATATTTAGATGGAAAACATTCCCAATGAAAATGGTTTTATGACATAAAAATGAACATGGAAATGATTTAACCCTCCTGTGCTGGAAAATTGATCAATAAATTAAATCGGCTTCATAAACTTTTTTGACAAAATATTTTCCAACCATAACAAAGGGGTGCTGTTATATTTCCATTTAGAATGTTTGCATTTTAGGCATCCTTGGTGACAAAATGGCAGTCGATATGTTCTAGGGCTCAAATGTACCTGCTCTGCTCTCAAATACACACACCCTAATTTACGAACACATTGTATTCTGAGAATTAGTTTATAGGTCAGTTGTTTGAAGTTCAGGAAAATACATTTATAGAAATCATATTACAAAGAGTGGATTCGCCTCTCAGGTCCGTCTGTAGACCCTACACTTAGAGCTTTGGGATGCTGCTGCTTTCTGTTGCTGCTTCTCCTTCTCTACTTTGTTTTTAAATAATTTTTTAAAGTTTTAGAATATTTTTAGATTCATAGGAAGTTGGAAAGAGTTCCCGTATACCCACATCCAGTTTCCCCGATTGTTAACATCTTATATCAGTGTTACACATTTGTCAGGAATGGTGAGCCAACATCGGTACATTATTGTCAACTAAAGTCTATACTTCTATACAGATTTCCTTAGTTTTTACCTAAAGTTCTTTTTCTGTTCTAGACTTCTTTCAGGATATCACATGACAGTTAGTCATCTTATCCCCTCGGTCTCCTTTAGGCTGTGACAGTTTCTCAGACTTACCTTGTTTCCTATACAGTTTTGAGAAGTACTTTGAGGTTAGGTGCTTTGTAGAATGCTCCCCAGTTGGGATTTGTCTGATATTATTGTCCTGCTAAGACTAGGGTTATGGGTTATTGGGAGGAAGACCACAGAGGTAAGGTTCTGCTTTCATCAGACCATATAAAAAGGATACACAGTATCGATATGACTTACCGCTAATGTTGACCTTGATCACCTGGCTGAGATCCAGTTTGTCAACTTTTTCCCTGTGAAGTTATTCTTTTTTCCGCTCCCTCTCCATCCTCTACTTTTTAATCTCCACATTTTCAGAAGCTCCATGTTTTTGCCCCACCAACCTCTGTTGCTTTGGGCCTTTCAGATGAGAGTCAGGAGGCTGACCACCTGTATTTTAAGAGCATTTGTAACTACGGCATGATTTGTAATGTTTCATTACAGTTACATCTAGAATAATATATTCTGAAAGTTTGAAAGGAAAAATGATTAAGCTGTGTATGGATTCTTTGATGTTTTACCAGCTCTCAGGTGAATACTAATGAC